GAAAAATTATTTTCCTAAGCAAACTGAGTCATGCAACCTTCTGAGTAAGAATTGTGTCCTCGCCCTGGCTGGTTTGGCTCTGCGGTTAGAGCGTCGGCCTACGGTCCAGAGAGACCCGGGTTCGGTTCCCGCTAAGGGCACGTACCTCGTTGCAGTTTGTTGGGTCGTGTGGGTGGCAACCACTCGATGTGTCTGTCCCTTTCACGTCAATGTCTCCCCCCCCCACTCTAACTGAACAAAAAATGGAAAAAAATGTCCTCAAGTGAGGATATTAAAAAAAAAAAATTGTGTCCTGACCGACAGTTTCTTTTACACCCTTTGAATTAGAAAAGGAGTTAGAAAAAGAAAATTGAACATTTCTTGAGAACTTACTCAATCCTAGACCTGATGCTAAGCACTTCGTATTTCATTTAATCCTTACTAAAAACCCTTAGAAGTACATATTGTTTCCCCAATTCACTCATGTGAAAATGAAGGCCGAGAGGTCCCCGACTCTAAATCCCACAGGATGAAGCTGGGATTCAAACTCAGGCCCAATTTAAAAGTTTGTTGTCTTTATATGCCAACGTACTGCCTTCCCTTAGTGAACTGTCAGAGGTGACCTAGCCCAGGTCTTAAAGACGGAGGAAAAGAAGGAGGAAAAAGAAATAACTGCGGGGAATTTCTTCAGAGAAAGGCATTTGACGGGTCAGAAACCAGAGTCTCCCATGCTTTAAAGCCGTTTCAGACGATGATTATGTGTCAGAAGGTGGGAAAGTGGCACTTTCTGAGTAGGTTTTGAGAGGAAATTTCCCCTGGGGTTTATAACATCAAGGATAAAAGAACTGTTCATTTTTCAGAAGGTGAAAATAGGGGGAGGCTTAGAAACATTTTTAGCTTTAAGCCTGTGATGTTGGGTGAGGTTTTAGGCTGGAGTGTGGGAATTCATTCCAAGTGTGCTTCCCAGATGCTGCCCTGGTCTCCAGCCTACACGCCTCTGCTTCCCTGTGTCACACCTCACTGTCCACACCTCCTGTCGGTGCCGTTGGTAGCCCTGTAAGACTGGAAACAATGGCTTGGGGTAGCAAAGCATAAGAGGAATGAGCGCAGTCTGTTTTCAACTACTTGTATCCATGAGAGAGTAGCAATAAAGAGGAAGAGGAGAGACTTCAGAAATGGGCACTGGCAGCGGGTGCTGATGGCAGCGGGTGCTGATGGAAGGAGAGGGTGGCAGTGGGACACGCCTTGAGCCTCAGAGAATAGGTTCTCCTGGATGTGAAGAGCACCACGACCAGAGGCTGATGTACCCGAACATGCATGATTTCACCTTTTGAAGCTAAGGCATTTTTCTATAAAAGTATAAAGATAACCTAAGAATTTTGGACAAGAAACACACTCGTCCTTGACCTCTTTGTCACCTTGGGCCCTCTACGTACACAGAAAGCTACTGAGCGGGGCATGGCGGAAACACGCCGACTGTGACCCAGCCGAGGCGCTGGCTGACATCTCCGTCAGGCACCTCGAGCTGGGTTAGACGCTGCGCCGGGCCGGAGGTCATGGCATTCTGGGGTTTGAGCTTTAGTTGTTTCTTGCTCAAATCACTCATTTCTGGCTTTACTAGTTAGCTATGAAATAGTGGGGTTAGAATGAATGTGGGCCCCTCTGCTTTTAAGATTCAAGAGCAAAGTGATTTTCACTTGAATGTTAACTTGTCTGTGAGAATGGTGGCAGGCACTCCACCAATGTGGCGGTCACATTTCAGGGTGTGTAGTCAGGGAATCAAGGAAACCCGCTAGGGGTCAGATGTCAGCAACTGCAGCAGGGGAGAGAAGGACAAGTGTCCCCTGCTTAGAGAAGGGTGAGTGGCCACCTGGCTGTTAAGTGAGAGGTCGTCAATCTTGCCAATCTCAGTGTAAGAGGCTTTCTCCTAGCAAGCCAAGTAAATTGAACCCGAAAATGGTCAGGTGAGGAGAATTATTGTTAGAATACTCAGGTGAGGAAAGAGACATGATCGGATGAGGTGCTGACTGTAGATCCACCTGACCCAAGGTCTCTGGACACTCAGCAGAGTTCCACGTTAAGAAGCACAGGATAGCCCTGGCCAGTTTGGCTCAGCGGTTAGAGCGTCGGCCTGCGGTCCGGAGAGACCCGGGTTCGGTTCCCGCTGAGGGCATGTGCTTTGGTTGCGGTTTGTCCCCGGCCCTGGTTGGTCGTGCGGGTGGCAGCCACTCGGTGTGTCCCTTTCGCATCGATGTTTCTCTCTCTCTCTCCCTTCCTCTCTCTCCCTCCCACTCTATCTGAACAAAAAATGGAAAAATATCCTCGGGTGAGGATTAAAAAAAAAAAAAAAAAGAAGCACAGGATAGATCCCACTTCTAGGAATATACCCTAAGAAACCTGAAACACCAAGCAGAAAGAATATATGCACCCCCATGTTCCTAGCAGCACTATTTACAATAGCTAAGATCTGGAAACAGCTCAAGTATCCATCAGTAGACGAGTGGATAAAAAGGCTGTGGTACATATACACAATGGAATACTATGCAGCTGTAAGAAAGAAAGATCTCTTATCCTTTGAGACGACATGGAGGGACCTGGAAAGTATTATCCTAAGTGAAACAAGCCAAACAGAAAAAGACAAATACCACATGATCTCACTTATATACTGAATATAATGAACATAACACTCTGAGGAATACGGTAGACCCAGAAATATGGAAGTAGGGTACAGACTGACAACCCTCAGAAGAGGGGGTGTTGAGGGTGGAAAGAGACAAACCACAGAACTTATATGCATGTACGCATGAACAATGGACATGGACAACAAAGCTGGGGACAGGCGGGTTGGGAAGGGGGAGGGGGGAATCAGTGGCAGGGAAAGGAGAAACATCTGTAACAAAAATAAATTAATTAATTTTTAAAAAGAAGCACAGGATGAAGTATGGCTGAGTCTGTATCAGAGGCAAGCCTGGCCTTCAGGGTCTAAGAAAAGGCTTTCACTCCCCAAAGGCAGAGTAGGACCCAAGAGCTAAAGCCTGTGAGACCAGAAGGCAGTCAAGAAAGGTATTCCACAGCCAGTGGTCTGTTCAGGGAAGGGTGTGGATCCCTGTCAATGGCGTAAGATATCTTAGATTTTGACTATTTGAAGACCTTGGGTCCAGGGACAGATACATGAGAAACAACCTAAATAGGGATGGGCAAGATTCCCTAGCAAACAGTGGGAGTCCCAAGCTGAAATAGGCAGAAATGCAGAGTATACACTTGCACACGCGGAGTGCAGGCAAATGGTCCTCACCAAGCAGGGTAGATTTTGCCCAGGAATACTGTTATTACCTGTTACAGATTTTTAAACCATAAAAAATAAAACTAGGTTCTTAAGTTTAGAATTTGGGCATGATTTCTATGAGCTGATTTTCTAACAAAGAGAAAGCTGACTGCAATGGCTGGTTATTTGGGGACAAATTTACTGGTAATCTATAAAGGTCCCTGAAAACCTAATTATGTTACTGATGAAAAGACCGAATGATTATGGCACTGGAAGCTCATACTAAGAGAGGAGGGTCACTGGTTATCTATTATTCATCAGAAGAGTTTTCATTGCTTTAGTTTGGAGTGGGGTGATTGTAGGTTACTTTCCCCAGCTGTGTTTTAAGAAAACTGCCAGCCCATTCCCTTAGACCCTCTGGTTTCCATTTCTGACACTCCTACTATCCTCCACTTTTAGAGGAAACTCTGCCAATCTGGTCCAGAATGTAGTCCTAAAGAGCACTGATAAAATGTAACATTTACCTTACTTTCCTGGACTAAAATAAAAAATAAAGAGTAAAGGTGCTTATTGTGCCTACACATCCCTTTACTTCTCACTTAGAATATATAATTAGAAGGACTCAAGAAGAGATGGGCAGACAGTCACCCCAGCCCACTCAGGGATGTATTTTGTGGGGAAAAAGGAAACAAGGATTTCCAAGTGGGGGGTACTTGATAGAGTAGGGAAGTCTGAGTTCTCACCCCACTGAGACTCAACAGATAGAACCACTAAAACCAATCAGACTTTACAGACACCGTGATTTGGGGTGTGGAACAGTTACAACATTTTCCATTTATCTTCATTTTGGAGACCTGATGTAGTTTTGGAAGAGAGAAGAAACAGGTAGGCTTATATACCATTTAGTTGAGGCCATACATGAAAACTATGGAGCTATAATGAACAAATACACTGAAGAGTACGTTTAGAAAAATTATAGGTATTTCTACTAATATTTTAGTGTTAAAATTGGGAATGCAAGGATTACTAATCAGGAGATATCAAATGCCCATAAACAGCTCATATTTTTACCTAACAGATGGTCGAGAAGGAAAGAAAGTACGTGTTGGGAAAAGACAACCCTTTCAGAATCATGTCTGGTAGCATGGTCTCACTTGAACGGTTTGTCAACAAGTGCTATCAGAAGTCAGTGGCAGGATTCTCACAATGGCTGGAAATGTAAGCACTACACAACATAAGCTTTCCTTTCACTTCAAACATGAAAATAGAAAGTGTATGGAAATGTAGGCATCTTTGACAAGGCTAGAAATAAGCTCTCATTCTCTCACAGGACGCTGCCCTGCGCTTCAAATCAGTTCCCCAGCAGGGTGCTGATAAGCGAATCTGCCAGCATCTTTTCTTCATGCCACCTCAAGTCTGATCACTTGGACATGAACCCAGACTCCACAACCTTAAAAGTAGCACTAGCATACAAGCTTAAATCCTGAGGACAGGAATGGGTTATTCTTTTTCTTTTTTTAATCCTCACCCAAGCATATTTTTCCATTTATCTTCAGATAGAGTGGGAGCGATGAAGAGAGAGAGAGAAACATCAATGTGAGAGAGACACATCGATTGGTTGCCTCCCGCACGACCCCGACCAGGGCCAGGGACGAACCGCAACCGAGGTACATGCCCCTGGTTGGAATTGAACCTGTGACTCCTTGGTCTGCAGGCCGACACTCTGACCCCTGAGCCAAACTGGTCAGTGCTAGGTTATTCTCTTTAACTAGTACATTAGCGTGCTAAGCCCCTCTTCCAGTTCAAAGGTTATCTAACATTTGAAAGCACTTAGAGAACACATCGTATTCTACATGAGCTCTTCGAAGAGTGAGGGTGCTTCCCTCCAGGGAAAATTGGGGTGCTTACCAAGAGTGGGGGGCAGGCATCTGCCCTCACCTCTGCTCTCCACGGTAACCTAGCACAGCACCTGGCACATGGGGACGCCTTAATAGACGCGAAACGAGAGGCTGAAATGGCTTAGGAGTTAAACTCTGTCTTCCAACTTGTCATTTTTCTTTGGCTCCTACTTATGTTTGACAAGTAGATATGTATCTTTTAAAACAGCAATCCACCTGTTTTCCAGGAGGAATTGTAGCATTTCACCTACTGTCTCAGTATAACTGGATGACCTCATCCCACTCAGAAATCGGCCAGACGCCGTTGGGCTGCACGTTGGGGGGCGAGCGCTTCCAGTCCCACGTCTTCACAGGGATCGGCCAGGTCTTCCCGTAGTTGGCTTCGATGTATTCGATGGTCTCACAGGGCACATGGACCTTCATGTCTACAAACTCGGTCCAGCACAGCGTGAACTTGGGAAACAGGTATCTGTGACAAAACAGGCCATGTGGAGAGGGGTCAGGCTTCAGCACTGGACATGTTAGCTCAGGAACCCAGCTGTGAGTGAGGTCCTGGCTGAAGGACGGTCCTCTCCCACTAAATAGATTTAGAGATAGATATAGTAGACATTGTATTGTTTTTGACTGTCCAGCATCCCTTTCCTTGTCTAATGTTAACAGCTTCCCAATTTCCCTCCCCTATTCCCAGTCCCTGTGACTCAGGAGGACTGACTCTACCCAGGTACAAAAGACCCAGGCCATACCAGTAAATTATAGCCCTCTATTCTGTGTTGGTGGTTTCTGAAGAATGTTTCTTCTCTTCACAACATGGGAAGACCTTTCAGGCATGGAAGTCAGCTTTGGAACTTCTATTAGAACGACTGGGGGAAGGTGTGTTCTTTTTGCTGAGGTTTCTAGGACGGTAGGAGAGAAGCTGAGCACAGCTGTTGCCACTTTTGCTATTAGTCAAAGCAAAAAGCTGCCAAAAGGTGGAGGAAAACGACAGAGTTCAGAAAACCCTGGGACAGTGTTTGGACCTGGCTGTGGCCATTCCTTAAACAGTCCCAGTGAACCAATCAAATATCAATATTCCACTGGACTACATTTCAATCCTCGCACTTCTTCACACATGGCAGGAGGCCCGTGCAGCAGTGAGACAGGAAGCGAAGCCCCTCGTCAGCCAGAGAGCCCGAATCATCCCGGCGGTATATGCCATTCTCCGCAACAGCATCGCAGATGCTTGTACCTTTGTGGTGGGTCACGTGAATTTCTGTGTCCCAGATACCTGCTCAATTTAGATAGCTGAAGAAATTCCCAGGGTCTGCCAGAGCATTTCTCAAACTCCTTTCCTAGCTCATACTGTAAGGAGACTTTCATACCACAACACCTGAGTGTGGTGGGCAGGACCCCTTTACTTGGCTCTTTGAGTAAGGCTTCCTACTCCATCCTGTTCTCAACTGCAGAAATGCACATCTAACGTTTGGATGCACTGTTTCAATACTACGTCTCCTAAAGGACAGCTATACAAACCACTTGCTTCCTACTCTGCTTCCATTTTACCACCTTTTTTAAAAAAAATCTGTCCTCAGCCTCAAATTTTCTTTTTCCTTACTTATTTTTAATAGTTTACATATTAAACCCCCATCAAATTCTAGCTACTACTAGAAGAACCTAACTAAAGAAGATGAAAATGAAAAGCACACACGTAAGGCAAATCTTTTGTTTCACAATCTGGACTCACACGTAAGGCAAATCTTTTGTTTCACAATCTGGACTCCCTGAGGCTACACAGCTAGTGTGACTCCAGGCTGCATTCCCAGACTTCAGTCCCCAAGGAGCCTACATGCAGTTTCTGTCCTTCCTCCATTCATTTCAAATGCTAATGAACATCTCTAAGCCAGCCCAAGAAATATTAGTTACAATGAATTGTACTCTATCTACAGTAGAACTATCTCAATTAGTAGGTAAGTTTCAGAAATTAAACCAAACACGTTTTTTAAAGGGACTCTGGATCAGTAAATATAATTTTATATGTTACAAAGGGAAGTGAAAACTATCTGCTTTGTTAGATTTAACTTTTTCTAACAGCCCTATATTCTGTGCTGGTATCTTCTGAAAAAGTGTCCCTCCTCTTCACAACATGGGAAGAACTTTCAGTAATGAGTTGATGTCGCAATAGCAGATAACAGAATTCTGAAATATCAGAGGATAAGAAAAAAAGGAACAGGGGAAAAATGCCAGATGTCAAAGTCTAATCATACTGTGGAAATGAGATCTAAATGGGATGTTCTCCAAGAAAAGGTCAGTTCTCATGTATTCTGCTTTTGAATATCATGTTTGGTCACCGGAACACACAGCCACACATGAAAATGAGGGGCTGAACAAATTCTAACGAAAGCAACAAGTCCCTTCTACCCAAACCAAGGGGTGCTGGCAGTTCACAGACAACCCAGCTGGCTCTGTGCAAAGATGGCCGCAGCGAACCTCAGAGCCGGGGAAGGGATAAGTACAGCACAGCTCCACCATCTGCTGGTCCTGCTTCCGCTCTGCACACTCTTATTCATAGAACTGCTTATTTTGCCATAAGACATATCCGTCCATCACCAGCCTCCACCCTCCCCAATCAGACGCTGGTCAGCAGAACGTCCACTTGTCTCATCCCATCAAGTTGACATGCTGAAGTTGAAACGAGGCGAAAATCATGGTCTATCTAGTAACACAGGCCAGGAAACTTCTCTCTTAAATATTAGCCTTTCCAGTCTCATTGTAATGGTAAAAGAAAGAAAACGCATAGGTCCAGGATAGTCAGGATGAATAAGAACACCACGAATCTTACAAAAGCAATGTTTTGATTAAGAAAAGATTTATGAACAAAACCAAAACATTTAAAATACACAAGGTTATAAAATAACGCAAAGACAATTTAACTCAACTGTTAATTTTGTTCCTAAATAGAAACATCCCTGAACTTTTTTGTTGTTTTCTTTTCACCAAGTAATTTTCAGTCAATTTAGCCAAAAAAAAAAAAAAATTCCAGCCTCCTAGGAGAAAAGATAAACAAACCATAAAATACACAACTGACTGTAAAAATGGGATTGTGGAGAGAAGGAGGGGGGCTGAGAGACACAGAACAGCACGTGCCATGTACTCTGGCCAGGCTACCGGTAAACAGTGACTAATAACACACCGTGTGTTGGCAACGTTGCCTTGGCTTTTAAAGCTAAGTTAAGCTAAGTAGTTTGAACTTTAAAGCTCTGATAGGACCCAAAATGTGAACAGAATTAAATTCAGACAAAGCAACCCTAAATCAGAATATTAATTTAAGGGATCTTATCACACACACAAAACTCTTCCATTAATTTTCTATTTCATACCATTTTTATTTCAGTTTTGCATAAAACAGTAGTTAAAATTGGAGTAGACAATTTTTTCCCCTAAAAGACATCCTTAAAATCTCTAGAACTACTTATTGGTGGTTGGATAAAGTAATTTCATCAGTTTTGCTGAACAACCTATTAATATACTTGCTAAATAAAAAACAGTATCACCCTGGCCAGTGTGGCTCAGCGGTTAGAGCGTCGGCCTGCAGTCCAGAGAGACCTGGGTTTGATTCCCGCTGAGGGCACATGCCTCGGCTGCAGTTTGTCCCTGGCCCTGGTTGGGTCGTGCGGGTGGCAGCCACTCGATGTGTCCCTTTCTCATCAATGTTTCTCTCTCTCTCTCTTCTTCTCTCTCCCTTCCACTCTATCTGAACAAAAAATGGAAAAACTGTCCTCGGGTGAGGATTAAAAAAACAGCATATTTTTATTACTAGTTAGCTAGGTTAAGTGAGGTAGAAACATCAATTACAATGGAATTTGACCTTTTTAAACATGAGTTTACATTAAACTCTGAAGCTGAAACAGCAGTCATTTTATTAAAGAAGAATTTCCTGTAAAGCAGCACAGTTTATTATCATTACCAATTTTGTCTCTTCTTTTCCTTCTGTTATCCCAGTGCCCAGACCCTCTAGCTTAATAGAAGTAGGGACAGCAAACATTCTTATGTTCTTTTCTCATTTTATTAGAAAGGTTTCTAAAGTTTCATCATTAAATATGATTGTTCACTCTAGGTTTTTTGTTATGTTCTCTTTATCAGGTTAAAGAAATTCTAGGCCTAGCCGGTGTGGCTCAGAGGTTGAGCATCAACCCATGCACTAAGAGGTTGCTGGTTCAATTCCCAGTCAGGGCATATGCCCAGGTTGTGGGTCTGATCCCCAGTAGGGGGCATGCAGGAGGCGGCCAATCGGTGTCTCATTGATGTTTTCTCTCTCCCTCTCCCTTCCTCTCTCTCTAAAATCAATAAAGAAAAAAAATTTAAAAAAAATCTAGATCCCTTTTATTCCAAGTCTACTAAAAAACCTTTTTTCTTTTTAAATAGAATATTCATTAAAAATTTTAAATGTCATCTACTGAAACAAGTACATAGATTTTTTTCTCCCTTTAATCTTTTAATCCTTTAATATTGAGAATACTACTGAGACTCACACACTACAAACTTCCATTCATTGGTGTTTCATTTGGGATATTTTTATGTGTTCACCGAGACTGTAATTTCCTTAAAAAAAAAAAACAACTTTTTTTGGCGTGCTGTCCACGTCCAGTATTGTTATCAGTATCGTAACATGAGTTACTTAAAGCAGTTTCCTTTTTCTATTTTCTGGCATAGGTTACATAATACAGAAAATAATCTATTCTGTGAAGGTATGGTAAAACTTTCTAGGTCTTTTGGTAGGGAAAATGGAAGAAAGGAGGATTTTTTGTTACTCATTCAATTTCTTTAACGAGTGTAGGTTATTTAGATCTTCTTGAGCTGATTTTGACACATGTTTTCCAGAAATTTTTTTATCATTTTTACATTTTATCTAATTATCACATTTATTGACATAAAGTTGTCTATAACATTTACTTTTGAGAGAGTCGGTGTTACATAGTTAAGAGCATAAACTCTAAAGCCAAACATCCTGGGTTTGAGTATTGAATATTACCTTTAATTTTACTTTATTTCTTGATCAATCTTGCTAAATGTCTATTTACTAGTTTTTAATTTTTTTTTTAAGAAGCAGCATTTGGAAGTACACCATAGGGACTATAGTCAATAATACTGTAATAACTCTGTATGGTGTCCGGTGGGTATTTGAAATGTCAGGGGGATCACTTTGTAAAGTATATGATTATCTAACCACTATTCTATATACCTAAAACTAATACAAAATAACACTGAATGCAAACTGTAATTGAAAAAAAAAAAAGAACCAGCATTTGGATTTGATATTTGATACTGTTTTTTATCTCATTAATTTCTTCTCTTGGCTTCCTTCCTTCACTTTGCCTCTATCTTTTTTTACTGAATTCTACAAGTTTTGATGCATAGTACATTATCTTTGAGTTCTAAAAATTTTATAATTCCCACTATGATTTCCTTTTTAATTCATTAGTTATTAAGGAGGGC